GACGACAGCTAACACGAGAATAGTACGATTTTTTTACGAACAAGAGTACCACAGTTGAATGGTAGAAATTCGTCTTACGAGTTTTTTTACGTGAATGGTACGAAGATACTACGACAACAGTACGACGGTTGAATTTTTTTTACGAGCGTCTGCATACCTTTTTACTAAGCTTTATCCAGTCTAGTTCTTTTTTTGAGTTGGTATATCTGATGCCAAAATACCAGACTTCACGTAACGCAATTTTTTTTGCGACCTGAATTGAGAGTGGACACAAATATGTTATTTCTTACGCGTTTTTTTAAAACTAATTAACTGGTATACTAGCTTGCTTTCTACTTTCTCATTATTTTTTTTGCTCAAAAAGCATTTTTCCTGTAGTACTCGTTTGGATGGCAAACTCCATTTCAGCATCGGGCGTCTTGAGGCGAACATTTTTCTACAAATTAGAGAAATTTTTTTACATGTCACTTAAATTCTAGGTTTATAAAAAGTTAAACTATTTTCCTTTTTTTTTTTCAGAGATTTTTGGCTCATTTCAAAAGGCAGCCTCGCAATATCTTTTTTTCCACGCAATGTATAGTGAACTATGCTTAAAAAATACAATATTTATTTTTTTTTAGCTCCAGCAGCAACGGAGGTCTTTCGTATATCGCGCGCTACGTGCTTTTTTTCTAATAAAAGGCACAAAAACCGCACAGCAAAATCTCGAATAGTGTATTTTTTTTCTTTGGCATCTTGCTAGCAGTGTACCAACGCGGCAAGCAAAGGAATTTTTTTGAAAATAGCTTCAAGAACCTGTAAAAAGTCAAAGCGTGTCTGTGTGTTTTTTTTTTGCATCGCAGGATTCATTATTGAATTTTTTTTTATGTGTCTTAATTTTTTTTACAAATTCTAGAAACACGAGATGACAGTTACATGTGAGTTTTAAGTTTTTTTATTGTAGGAGTGTCCGTAATAACGAGTTGTCCGTAATATTAGGGTGTTTTTTTCGCCAGAATTGACTGCAAAATATATATTTTCATCTTTCCTGTCAAATTTTTTTTTCTGTATGATATTCTTTTGGTGATTTTGCATTGCGGTAATGAGGTTTTTTTTGTTGCGTGATTTTCTTGACTCTTGCGTGACATTATCAAGATGTCATTTTTTTTGCGACCGTTATATACATCGCGTCATGCGTGATCGAAAATATGAACGTTTTTTTATGTAAGTGGAAAAAAAAATTCTCTCTAACGCCATGAAGAATAAAATTTTTTTCCATCTCGGCCTTCTTTCAATAAAATTTTTTATACCACTGCAAATATTTTTTTTTTTGTGAGTATTTTCTTTTCAGAATAATTGAACTAAAAGCACTTCGAAAATCCATATATTAGCCTACGTTCTGAGCATAAATATAGGCTTCAATAACTTTTTTTTATTGGGCACAGCCAACACCAYTCGTCACGATCACTTCAAACGATCGTTTTTTTCATATATGGTAAAATTGAATCGCACCCAGGGTTTGTATTGAATACTTTTTTTTTATAAATACATTTGTGAATTCTACAGAAGCAAACGATTCAAAATAATTTTTTTGGTTGCAGAAATGCCGAGAGATTTTTAAAAGTATTATATTTTCTATTTTTTTTTTAACAGCTCGGCAGTCTGTCCTCGCACACAATGAATCTTGTTTTCTTTTTTTTTTTTTATTGTTYTAAGTATTCAAATYAAAGAAAAACAAGTCAAAATTTTTTTGGAAATGCGCGTGTAATCGATTTTTWWWWAAYSSMT